CCTTTCACATGGGTCGCCTAAGACCATCGGAAAACAAAAAGATATTTACATTACGATTCATAACAGTAGCAAAATTAGTTATAGAGTAGCAACGAAAATAATTTTATGGTTGGGGGGTCACCACAACATGAGGAACTGTATTCAGGGGTCGCGGCATCAGGAAGGTTGAGAACCGCTGCTCTAGGTTTTACATAGAGCGGGGGCTGAGGGAGAACCAGATGGGGTTCCAGTAGGCTGACAGAGTGTAAACCTTCCTGCTCAGGGACATCCAAACACAATGGAGCAGATACTTGCCATCGAATGGATGAAAAGTGCGTCTGGGCCCTTTGGTAAGAACAGCACTTTGAGTGCTAAGCGGGGTGCACTTACCCCCTTCCTTTCTCCCTCAATCGCAGTTGACTGCATCCCTCAAAGCCTACAGCACATCCTATTTCTCCACAAGGAGCCTGTGGAGCTCTTCCTCTGACGGCCAAGGTCACTGGCTCTACCCCTCATTTGCAAAAGTAACCATGGACCACACCACAGATGGCTGGCTCTCCTAGGTGTCGTTTTTAATTTGATTTTGTCTCCTCTTCCCACCTGGGTTTGCTCTTTGCAAATATATTCTGTTTTGACTCAACATCTGCCCCCAAAACACTGGTGGCACATGTCTGATTGGCTGAAGCCTGAGACAGCAGTGGCAGAGCACTCTTCTCCATTGGGAATGGTAACGTGCAATCGTTTTCCCTTGAAGTATTAGGACTATAACCTTGCAGTCTCAATTGATGGTTATTTATGCCTAAAAATGGATACTTTTCTTAACCTAACAATAAACATTTCTCCTAAGAAGTAATTGAAAACATAGCTGACCTTTAAAACTTCACAACTTTCCCATAAGTAATGTTACCATTGAAGTTTTAAATAACAATATTTCATGAGGAAATGATGACATACAACACAATCCAAAGCATGCCTGTTCCCACTGCACAAAAGGAGTTCTTTATCCTACTTAATTCTTTTGTTTTTATCGTTGAAATATATTAAATTAGAGATTATCTGGAAGAGGGGTAATCACAAGTAAGGACATGCTGTCTGGTCTGAAGGGTTTTTATCTTAAGAAAATATTAAATAAGGCTCAGATGATGACGGATTGTATAACATCTACATTCTTGTGGAAGTGAATAATACTGAAAAGCCAATCTTTCAAGGTTAGCTACATTTTCCCTTGCTAGTAATATTTTATAAAATTGTGTTCGCTAAATGATTCATATTCGAAGTCGAATTTGCCCTTATTGAAGAAGTAGCTTCTAGTGGTTCAAAGAGCAAAACAGAACAACTTTAACCAAGTGTTCACACTACTCGGGTCCCTCTTCTCCTTACTAAACATTTCCCAACTGTGTAACTAAACCTCCACAAACGTTTCTAGTAAAGGTAATGGACCGGAAGGCACTGTGGGCATTCCGATGACTTACATCTGAGTCCCATCATTCATGACTGCTCGAAGGAACACGCATTCAGCCTATACACCGCCAAAAGTGCTGGGGAACCAAATCGTGCTGGTAAACCATTCCCTGTTATTTTGGAATTGGGGGTGCAGGGTCAGGTCCTGGCAGCTTCTCCTGATCGAGACCAAGTCTTTAGCAGTAAGAATCTGGCAACACAGCCTGTTCTCACCCTCACCACGCAATTCTCACATCTCCCAGGACTTCACAATCCTTTCAGGGCAGACTGCAGGACACAAAAGCATGGCAGAGACACTGGGACAAGTGGTTTTGAGTTCTGCTACAAGTACACATTTTAAAAGGCACAAAGAAGCGGCAAAGGAAGCGGCAGCTTGATGTGTTCAACGCTATTATTAGTAATGTGCAAGTGGGTTCATCTTTCCAGCCTAAGCATTTGACTGGAGTACGTTGTACCAAGCAAGAATGTCCTGCAAACTGAGCTAAAAGTTGTTAATGACTAATGGGATGAAATGTGTTAATGATAAAATTTGACAGACACCGAAACTTTACTTCTTTCAAAGTTTGATAAGTGCTGCCTAGAGCAGAAATAAAACGACTTTTTTTGAAGTCACAGGACATCTTTATAAAAAACGTGCCGAATCTCCATCAAGCACTAATCAGTATAGTTATCAGAGTAAAACCAGTTTGTGGTTAATAAGCCACAACAAATGGTGAGTTATCAGCAAGTAACCATAATGACTTATAAACGTTTCCTGAGCACTGACTTTGTACTGAGCACTACTCTATAACTTTTCTCTCATTATCTCAATTAATCTTTATAATTACCACCCCATTAATTAGGATCCCCATTTCACAGGTGATGAGACTGAGGCACAGAGTGGTTAGGGTAGGTAGCCCACAAGAGGATAAGAACCTCCAGATGGTAAGGGGTGCAGCCCCGTGATTTCAGTGGTTCCGCCATAGCTGCCTCTGTGCAATGTTACTGACAATCATGTAAACACTGGAGAGTAAGGTTAAGGATGGAGGTTTTAAGGGTTTTTGTAAAATTCCCTTTCTTGTTGGTTTGTTATCTAGATCACGGTAAAACAAAAACACACATTTTCATCACAGAGATGGTAAGACCTGTCCAGTTCACTTTATGGCCCAGTCACAGACTACATTTGGGAACAAAGATAATTCTCATAGGGTGATGGGATTAGTTTCCTAGGGCTGCCGTAACAGTACCGCAACCTGGGTGGCTTAGAAAAACAGAAACGTGTTCTCTCACAGTTCCGCAGGCCAGAAGTCCGAGGTCAAGGTGGCGCAGGGCCGTGCCCCCTCGGAATGCGCCAGGGCAGCATGTGTTCCAGGCCTCTCCCAGCTTCTGGTAGTTCCTTGGCTTGTAGTCGCAGAACTGGACCTTTACATGGCATTCTCTCTGTGTGTCTGTCTCTGTGTCCAAAATTTTCCCTTTTATAAGGTCAAGTTGAGCAGTTTGTGGGATAAGATTTGAAAACCTCTGATTTAAAGCTCATAATTATACTGATACTTTGGTCATTCATTCAAAATAATATTAAGTGCCAGGTACCATGTAGCAGATCATTTTCATGACTATTTTTTTTTTACCTACCTAGGATTTTATCTGACAGAGGCAAGAGGAATGGGGATGGTTCTTAACCATACTGTAACTGAACTAACTACTTACAGTGGAAGAACAGATTTCATTATTTTATTTTCAGGTCATTCATATCTATTTTTTATTGAAAAACTATATCAGCAGGTAATATAGCGAAATTAGCAGATAATTCAAAATGGCTTTTTCGATGACTGGGGTTTGCTCCCATCCTTAATTACAGCTTCCATCATAAAAGTAACAATCTCTTGGGGGAAAAATATGTTATTCTATCTTCTGGTAAGGACAACAGATATAAGCCCTATCTCTGTCATATTTACTTTTCCAAAAGTAACAAACAGCACTCCAAACCACATGTTGACATGGTCCAATGCCTACTCTCCTTTATGTGTCAGACTAATGGTTATTTTGTATGTATTTTGAAAAAAGGTAACATTTACTTCTGGAGATCAAGGAAAGAAATGTATTCTATGTGTAATATAAAGTACTGTTTTAAAAATACAGTAAAACCTTGGATTGCAAGTGACTTGGTTTGCGAGTGTTCTGCAAGACGAGCAGTTTGTTTCTGGAACGAATTATGCTCGCAAACCAAGGTATTACTGTACTTGTTTGGATATACTTTTTAATACACGTCAAAGAAGTCAACAGTTTAATCAAAAGGAAGTAAAAAAAACAAAAACCTGAGTGAGTAGTTTGGTGAAGAATCAGGGCAAAGACACCAAAGGGCATGACAGTTTCTACAAAGCCCACGGCCCAGCTCCTGGCCCCCAGGGGGAACAAGAAATGCTAGCCCATCTTTATGAAAATAAGGATCATTCAAGATGGGAATGAAACTCGTCCATTCCCAGGCTTCTATGTTTCTGTTCATTAGAGAATTATAGGTAAAATGTCATATAATTAGAACTCAATACAAACAATATTGGGACTGGTTACCTGTTATAATAGAGAAAAGCATCTGTGTACCTGTTAGAGACACTTCAAAAGTAAATGGTGTGGTAATCTTAATAGTAAAGAGAGCAGCAAAAGCAATTCTAGTTCATTGTAGTAAGTCCGTCAGAAATAAAAAAAGAAAAAGAAAATTCCTGCTTTCTCACTGAAGAGATAAGGCCATTATCAGAATCTTCTAACCCCATGGACGGATAGCCTCAATGCATGATCAATCGGAAAGTGTAAGTACTAGGCATTTGGTTATTCTACTTAGCTTCACACCGATCTCGACTCTGAAGGGAGCTAAGAGTTACGATTTGGCAGCTCTGGAGTACAGGGAAGTCTCAGAGCTGTGTACCAGTGAGCTGGCAGCAGTTTTAGGAACCCAGCAGTAGCAGGGACAAAACCTAATCCCTAAGTTTGTACTTGAGAAAGGAGCACAGGGATCAGAGGCAGGCAGGCGTTGGTCTGAATCCTAACAGCAAATTATTAGTTGTGTACCAGGGAACACATATGTGCGCACATGGACACACATGTGTGTGCGCACTCTCCATCTGGTGGAGTCTCTAACCGTCAATGAATAGCAGAGATACTATTAGGATAAACTTTGTTCTAGAACTAAAAAAAGAGTCCTGGGGCCGGCCGAGTGGCTCAGTCGGTTAAGAGTGTGAGCTCTGAGCAACAGGGTTGCTGGCTCGATTTCCACATGGGCCAGTGAGCTGCTCCCAGGCTGAGTTGCCGCTGAGCTGCCAACAGGTGGCAGGATGGCTCAGCTGGTGAGGGCACGTGCTCCTAACAACAAGACTGCCTGTTTGAGATGGTGGGCTACGCCCACCCGCAACTAAAGACTGAACTCGGCACCTTGAGCTGAGCTGCTGCCCAGGTGGCTCAGGGGATAGAGCGTGTGCTCTTAACAACAAGGCTGCCGGTTCGACTCCCACATGGGATGGTGGCTATGCCTACCTGCAACTAAGATTGAACTTGGCAGCTTGAGCTGAGCTGCCCTGAGCTGCCGACAGGCAGCCAGATGGCGACTGGCTTGGAGCTGAGCTAGCTGCGCCCTCCACAACTAAGACTGAAGGACAACAGCCCGGAAGTTTACGTGCGTGGTTGCACATGGCCGCCACCTGGAAAGATGTCGCTGGTGGTGTTTTGCGGACTGCCCTACAGCGGCAAGAGCGCCAACGCACGGAGGAGCTTCGCGTGGCGCTGGCAGCCGAAGGCCGCGCCGTGTACATAGTGGACGATGCGGCTGTGCTGGGCGCGGAGGACGCGACCGTGTACAGTGATTCAGCCCGAGAAGGCGTTGCGTGGACCCTGCGAGCCGCGGTGGAGCGGCGCCTTAGTCATCACGATGTGGTCATCCTCGACTTGCTCAACTACATCAAGGGCTTCCGCTACGAGCTCTACTGCCTGGCGCGGGTGGCACGCACCCCTCTCTGCCTGGTCTACCGTGTACGGCCTGGCGATCTGAACCGGGGACCTCGGGTGGACACCGAGGAGAACCGGAGCCTGAACGTCAGTGTGAGTTGGCAGCCGCACGTGGAGGAGGGAGGAAGACCTCTGGCAGCAGGCACCCGTGTCCTCAGGGAACCGCAAGCAGTGGACTCTGTAGTAAATGGGAGAGCCCAGGCAGATGTACTAAGGAACTGGAGCGAGAGGAAACCAAGGCTCCAGATCTTCCAGCTCTCATGACTCCGGAATTTGAAAAATCTGCAAAACATGTGTCCAGTGCCTTTTACCCTCCCGAACTTCTGGAAGCCCTAACGCTGCGCTTCGAGGCTCCCGACTCTCGGAACCGCTGGGACCGGCCCCTGTTCATTTTGGTGGGCTTAGAGGAGCCGTTGCCTCTGGCAGAGATCCGGGCTACCCTGTTTGAAAACCGGGCTCCTCCACCCTGTCAGTCTACACAGTCCCAGCCTCTTGCCTCTGGCAGCTTTCTGCACCAGTTAGATCATGTCACTAGCCAAGTGCTGGTGGGACTGATGGAAGCGCAGAAGAGTGCAGTCCCTGGAGACGTGCTCAAGCTTCCTGGCATCACGGAGCACCTTCGGTTTACCTGGCCCTTGACCATGACAGAACTGAGTCGCCTCCAACGCCAGTTTATTTCCTACACCAAAATGCATCCCAACAATGAGAACCTGCCTCAGCTGGCCAACATGTTTCTGCAGTATCTGAGCCAGAGCCTGCACTGACCAGAGTGGGTAGGGGGGAAAGCCATTGCTCCTTATCTAACCTCCACTGCACTGTTTCTCTCTGCGAAGAATAACCTGAGTGTCTGCTGAGCATATTGATGTGTGGTAGTAGAGCTAGTGTGACTGATTCACTCACACTTTCCTGAATGCTGGGTGCCAGACCTTGGTTTGGAAGATCTTGGCAAATTTCTCCAGAAGACAGAGCTCAAGTGGACAGGGCTTGCTTAGATTGGATTGTACTTGGGATATCACATAATATTGATTTCTCACAATCTGAACTGTGGGAGAGCAGAATGGATGGATGGATTGTTTAAAATAGTTGTGAAGAGAAGCTGAAGATGGCACAGTTCTGCATCTGCACTGGCCTTCTTACATACCACAAACAGTTTTTTTGAGTACTGTACCTAAAGTGTTTGCTTGTTTCTATCCTGGGGTCTGTGGTCACAGATAAATCCACTGGTTTCTGTCTTTGGGAAGCTTTGCTTCTAATGGAAGTGAAAAATATAATCACTAGATTATCTTATCTAATAAAATTATTAGATCTTTCAGAAGAGTTGGCTGGAATCTCTTTCAATTAATGTAACTTAATGTCCTTCATGTAATTTACTTAATGTAACATTTTAGATACACATGTACTACTGTTTTGCCTTTGAAATAGTACTTCAGTAGTGCTTAGTGAGAAGAATAGATGTCTGTAACTTGTGCTTCATTCTGTGTATCAAGGAAAATGTCACTTTAAGCTTGTCTTTCATTCTTTTCATGAATTTCATTAAACAAATGGTAGTTACCTACCTTAAAAAAAAAAAGGCTGAAGGACAACAACTTGGCTGTCCCCCTTCCCCAATTCCCCAATAAAATCTTAAAAAAAAAAAGTCCTACATGAAAAAAGCTCTGGAAACTAACAGAAGTGAGCTGCAACATCACCGTATCTGTCCAAGTCTTATGATTGGATTTGGAAAAGTATCTGTACGCAATGGAGGCGTGAGAAAAGAACTTTGTAGGTCAGGGAAGGTAAAGCTGCAAAGGCAGGGCGGGGAGGGGGAGCACGCGGAGGCTCGCGTGCACTTACGCCGTTCCTCCCGGTGCCTCTCGGTCTCCGCGAAGTACTGGCGGAGCTCCTCAGTGATCTCCATGTTGCTCAGGTCGCATTCGACCCCCTCGTCTGAATCTGAATCGCTCTCCATCTCCTCGTCCTCCTCCTCCTCCTCTGCCGCCCAAGCTTGGTCTTCTCTTGTGCTGCTGTGCGGGTGCTGCCCACACCTCGGAGAAAGGGAAGAGGCGCAGGGGGCGTGCTGGGAGGCCCAGGGCTGGTCATAGAAGCACTGGGGAGGCTGGCCATCCTCAGCATAAGAGCCCTGGGGAAAAGCGGCGGGAGGGAAGTACCCTGGGGAGCTGACGTAGGACTCCACGGCCTTCCGATAGGCATTGTGGTGGCTTCGCATCCAAGCCATTGCTTGATAATAATGTTGCCAGTATCTCGCATAGACCGGATGAGAAGACCAAGACTCGGTAGGGTTCCACGATGCCGCCTACAAAATAAAGGGAGGTGTAGGCTAGACACCACCGTTCATCCTCAAGAGAAATCCTCATGAGTTGAATCACCGAACGCGTATTTACGGAGTGTCTACTAAAAAGCTCCTCTGCGTTAGGGAGCTGCTGGGTCACAGGTCCATGCCCACAGTGGACACCGAGTATCTGCACACTTGCTCTGAAGTACGTATACGGGAGGCACAGGACAATTGCTTTGAGGTTATGGCCATGAAGAAGTGGGACAGAGACTGATAATGATCCTTTTTAGATAAGATGCAGGGAGAGGTAAGGACCTGTCTATCTTGGGCCTTTCTTCCTACTGTTATTAAGCAACTTGTGCCAAGAACCATGTGGACCTGTGAATGTGATGTCCTCTGGCCCCACCCTCTCTGCCCCCTAAACGCCTGCTGGCCCTGCCTAGTCCACAGTGCCTGGGACAAGAGACATGGAGCAGGACACCCAGTGGCACTTTTCGTGTTCTGATGTATTTCTCTGGTCTTCTGCACCATGGAGTGAGAACACCAAGACTTTAAAGACTAAAATTTACCTGTTTTACTTATGTGTTAAAAAAAAAATCTTACCTTTGCTTCCATCTCTGATTGTGAGACTCTAAATGGACACCCAACTAGGAGAGAACAAGCACAGTACAAACGTCTGGTTAGTACAGGTGTGTGACATCCATGGCTATTTCGGGGTTTCCAAAGCAGTTCCTCAGAGTGCCTCTCCTCAGTGCTGTGCCTCGTCTCCACACAACTTACCACGAAGGGCCCCGGCACCTGGGCTATGACCCTGTGGTCTGAAAAGGAGGAAATGGTTAATGTTGAAACTTGGGAAGGTAAATGACTGTTTTTTTTTTAAAGATTTAGCCTAAAGAGAACCATTCATATTCTTTTTAAATATAAGCTTTCAAATAGGGTATTTCCAAGAGGGCTGACATGACGTGTAAATTTACCCTAAACATAGCCCACACTTCCTGTTCATTGTTCTAAATTCAGGAAAACTCTCTCTCTCTCTCTCTCTCTCTCTCTCTCTCTCTCTCTCTCTCTCTCTCTGAATGTAAACTGGAAAAAAGCTAACAGATGCAGGGAAAATATAAGCGCAAATTAAGCTCATGTTACTTTTAAACTATAATTTGAAGGTTTAAAACAGCAGCAATTATCTGAAAACCTGGCTAACTGCTATGTGTTTTACAGGCTCCTGAAGAAAAAAACAGTCAATACCATTCAGGGGCTAACCACTGAGAGAAGTAAAACTAACACAAATGAAATTACAGAAGAAATCAGTCCACACTTGAGAGCTACACTGTAAAGTGCAGCCTTTAAGTGGCTAATTCACTCCAGCCAGGCTTCACCTTTCTATCACTGACAATCTGAATAGCTTCGGAGAGTCTGCAGCACATAACGACATTAAAGTGAACTCCATGTGTGTCTTAAATCAAATTTGTTTTAGAGATTAACAAGTAGCACAGGAATTAAATTAGAGAAGTCTAGGAGACATCTGTGGTTCTTCTGGAGATTGTTTTGAATCCAGATTTCTATGCCTTATGAAAATGTTACTTAGTTAGAGCCCAATTAATGTGACTATTAATTATCCCAAACTGGGAAGTTTGACAGCCTCAAATATGTAATAAACATTATTATGACTGAACACTCCTATAGACCTCAGAAAATCCTGTTTTTTATTTACAATTGGGAAAATCCAGCCTGACTTTAAAAGTAGTACCAACATTCTGAAAATGCATGAGATGGCTTATGAGAGGCTCTGCTTTGCAGCGTGAGAAGTGTAGGCAGATGCGATCAAGCAGGCAACTGTTTAAGTAAAGTTCAAGTGTAATCCATCATATTTGCCAGGCTGCTCAAATGTCAATGGGTGTGATTAAAAAGGGGGAGGGAGTGCCAATTGGAGGAGCGGTTACTTATTTATGCCTTTGATTCAACAAATAATTTGATTGAAGGGCTGCCACGTTACACTGCCTCAGAGATCACGCAAAGCACACTCTGAGCGCTTTTGCAAGAAGGAAGACCGGACAATGAATGAGCTGAGATGACTGAACAAAGCCAATTCCAGCATTTGGACCAAAAGCGGCTCCGAGTCAGTCGAGTGTGCCAAGTATAAAGTATATCAGCCAGTATATAAAGTATCTATATTATAAAGTATGTCGACTAGTCGGCTTAAGGGCTAGACTCTTTGAAGACTCAGGCCATTCAGGAAAGATGAATTTATATTAATTTGTCATCAATTTTAGTCTGATTATGCTTTCTGCATTGTTGTGGACACTGGGACACTTATAATCAAATCTGCTGCCATCCTCCAGCATGCTTAGAGTCCTGGGGCTGTACGTTGAATATGCTCACTTAATCCTTGGCTTTATAATTTTCCTCCTCAAACTCCCAAACCTGTGTGTCATATCCTTGTACATTTTAAGTATTTTTAAGATTCCCCAAATCCTATAGGCAATTAAAAATAGTTCCTGAGGATGAATGACAAATTAATCAATTAATCTCTCAAAAATCAAATTAGAGTATATCTAAAGGAATAGCAGCTTGCATAGAGCTTTATAATTATTAGTAGCTTGCTATTTCCAGGATTTAAATCCTGGTATTTTATGCCAGTAAATTTTTTTCTGTAAAGGGCCAAGCACTAAATATTGTGGGGTTGTGGGCCACAATACAATTTCTGGCACATATTCTTTTTTTTTTTTAAACTTTATTGGGGAACAGTGTGATTTCCCAGGACCCATCAGCTCCAAGCCAAGTAGTTGTTTCAATCTAGTTGTGGAGGGCGCAGCTCACTGGCCCATGTGGGAATCGAACCGGCAACCTTGGTGTTGTGAGCCCGTGCTCTAACCACCTGAGCCAACCAGCCGGCCGCCCTGGCACATATTCTTCACACTCTTCTTTTTATTAAAAAAAAAACAAACCCAAAAACCAACCCTTTAAAAATGTAAACACCATTCTCAGTTCATGGTCAGTACAAAAAACAAGCTGAGGGCCATCATTTGCTCACCCCTGTTTTATGTTAATACATCACTAAGCTGTATAGACTCTGCCCTCAATATGCTGAGCATGCTAATTGTTCCTCACTTTCTCCCTGGAAATCAGTGGAGAAACTTTGAGAGTCTCACACTTAGAAGAAGACTAATGGAAGGAAGAGAAATGGGGTTATGAACAACAGCAATCTTGGTGACCAATTCCTAATATTTGGGACAAAAGAATTGTCTCCATGACTAAATAATCAAACTGGACCATTTTTTAAAGATTTACATAGACATTTAAAGGCAAAACAAACAAACAAAAAAACCAACTAACCAACCAACCCCCCCCCACCACACACACACACACACACACACACACACACACACACAAAACAACCCTAAACTCCTGCAAAACGGTATCAGTGGCCAGGGTTTAGAATGCATATGCAGTGCCATGATTTCTGATGGGAGGCCCTACCAGCTGCCATGTAGTCGACAGTGACCCAACGAGGACAGGAAGCAGGAGAGAGTTTGGAATGTCTTTTCCCTGGAAGAAGGAATATGTACCCTTTCCTGCTAACCGCATCCGTTAGCTCCCAAAGGAAGGGGAGAGCCTCCTCTGAAAAAGGGTCCTGTGAACTTTTTAAAGCTGGTTACTCTTTCCACGCAGAATGCTTAAGGACCTAATAAAAACGCCTGGGTTTCTGAAAGGCCAACATTAATTCTAGCAACGCCACCATCAGACACCAGCACCATCTCAAAGAAAAGAGAGCTTATGGCTGCAGCATATTTAGTGGTCTCTAATTTTATCTTCCGTTCCCCACCTCCCTAGGAGTGTCTCCTACTCTTTTCATGGACTGAACAGCAACTTTTCTCCTAATGGGATGGTGGAGCTGAAAGAAAAGAGATTGGCAATGTCAGGACAGGCCGGGATCCACAGCTCTACCAAGCGGGCAGCCCTCCCCAGTGAGTACAATGGCATAATAGCCACTACCCAGCTGAGCCCAGACAAGTACAGAGACTGAATTCATTGTCTGTTCTCAACCACCAGAGAAGGAAGGAAAAAAACAGCATTGAGGTCATTCACTAAACACTGCCGAGGCCCACAGGCAACACTGCGCCTCTGAGTCTTCAACAATGTATTTTCCCATAAAGCCTTTCTGAAAAAATGCACTCATTCTTCAATGAATCTGCTTATCCTGGAAGATACATTTCTAAATGCAAAAATATACATGAACAACAGACAAGAGCTTTGTAGTTCTCAATGGACACACTGTGACTATTTCCAAGTTACTTAAAAATTCCACAAATAAGTAATGTATCTTTGTTGAAAGGTAGCAACATTGCATCTCTTCTTTTCCTTGCATAGTTACATTCTTACAAATATAGGCTCTAGGGTGTGTCATAGAAACCAGATAAATGAAAACATCACAAATTCCGCTCAAAATGATAATGTACCCTCTGTAACTGGATTTTCCTATCATCTTCCTTTTCCACTAGAGTTCTGAAAATGAAATACATGAAAACTCACGTGCTTTTGATTTTTGCATAGAAACACACAAAACATCAGCCATTAAATAAGTTATGTTGGCTGAAGCCCCAAGAGTCAAACCTTTCCTAAAAAGCTCCCACCGATTTGGTTCTCTGAGCCAATCAGATAACTGGAGGGACCTAATGAGGCCTTCGGTACACTGTTTCAAGGTAGGGAGAAGAGGGTCTGGTGGAGATTGATCAAATAAAGAAAGGCACAGTGAAGGGCCGGCCGAGGGGCTCAGGTGGTTAAGACCTTGTGCGAGCTCTGAGCGACAGCGGTTCGATGCCCGGCCCAAGCTGAGTTGCCAACAGGTGGCAGGATGGCTCAGCTAAAAAGAGGAAGAAAGGTACAGTGAGAAATCTCAATAGCATACATTGAGTCATATGTGGTTCTAAGGAATCTCTGCATATGCAGTAATAACCCTATTGGAGAAGATATCTTCCAATAACACACACACTGGAACTTCCTCAACTAAGATAAATAATAAAAGGACGTTTTCTGAGAGCACTGCTTCCTGCCCCCACCCCCAGCTGCGGGATACGGCTGGCAAGCTCATCTGGCTTGGTGCCCTCATGGTCCCTGCTTAGTGAGTTGGACATCAAAGATGGTTCAAGTCTGAAAGGCCTTCTTCCACCCTTAGTAGTCCAGGCTCCATCTTTCGGCCGGGCACAGGCCTCTCACAAGGGCTACCATGTCTGGAAAGCCTGCACCTCTCCACTGTTAAAGCTGATGGGCGAGGGAGCCCCCAAACTGAGTTTCATCTCCTTTTTATTCTCTCAACCCCAACCCCGAATGGGTTGCCGCAATAAGAAGCAAAATATGAGGACATCTATAAACAAAGTTACCCTCTGACTCAAAAACACAACAGGCAATGGAATAGCTGAAAATTGGGATAACTGCGGAGGACATAGTAACACAACTGCAAAGAGGAAACAGCTAAGATGGCTTCTCTGCAAGTTTATCTTTCATACAGCAAAACCTAGTGTGACCATAAAGGAATATGGTTGAATAGGCAAGCAATACAAGTTAAGAGCCTACCAGCAAAAAGCACTAATTTAAAGTGGTTAAGACCACCAGAAGATTTCAGGAGCCTTATTTCAGGTTTTACTTCTATAAACACATACATGGTAATTCCATGTTAACCTCTTTCCTGAATGTATGCCCCACTCATTTGGGTGTTTAATCAATTACCTGTAGGCATGGATTCTGCAATCTATTTCTTTTAAATTTCCTCCTTTCCTTCCAGCATAAAAGTCATAGCTAATATTTCCTGCCCTTGGATGCTGTTGGGATTGTTTCCTGATAACTCGCTCCTCCCTAAAATCACTGAGCAGCTAGTCACTCAAATAACTCCGGCTATAACGCTCCGAATTCAATCAGAAAGCAGACGTTTAAACATGTTCATGTTTTCAAAGATATTTTCAATTCATCTGACCATTGACCAACTACAGTTACACATTTTTCACTTGTTGAATTCCCCCCCCATCCTTCTCATGTCACCCTGTCCTTCAATGGTGGATCCTAAAAACCACAAGAATCCTTCACCATCTGTAAAACAGTTTGAGAATGAAAACTTCTCTCTGGAGCTTTAGTTTGTATACCTTCCCAGCACAGCAATGAGCACACAGAGGGGATTTGTATACTTATAGTGAACTAGCCTTCAGTTACTGCTCCGCAAAGTTACTAACAATCTTTTACAATATAGTTTTCTGTTCGCAATGCCACACCAAAGGGACTATTACTTTTATAAACGATATAAGTATAAATTGTATCTTTACAGCTTATCCCACCCCACAATTCATGGGAGAGGCAATATCCCCGGAAGTGTTATTTGTGTTATTAATCTTTAGTCTGGACTTTCAAGTAATATTGTTCTGACTTCAGGTGCAAAACAGCTGAATAAAGAACCTAGCCTGTGAAACAACTTTAAAAATTATTCCTGAAAAAAAAAAAAAAAAAGCTGTTCAGGACCATCCGATCTGTACGAAGGGACTCTGGATTTCAAACCTAAAAGGTATGTTGTCGGCTATTGGTTCAACTCAATTACTGAGGAAGAAAAAATGGGCAAAGAAGTGCTCCACCTCCACAGGTAAGGCACATAAAAAGCGCAGGTGCAAATGTTCTCCAAATAACTTCCACCAAAACCCCTAACCTCGCCGAGATCAAAGTGCGAGGGAAAAGAAAGAAAACCCCAAATTATGAGTAGACGGGCCAATATCCTAGACATCCCTCTAAGGATGAGGCTGCCCTGGGCGATCTTCTGTTCAGATACTGGGCTGGCTGGGCAAAGTCCGAATTCACCTTGCATTCCTGGCTTAACAGGGTCACCAGCATATAAAAAGCACATGGAGAGCTTTAATAAAAATACCGATGCCTGGGTCCCACTTCTGGAGAATCGATTTTAACTGGTGTGGGATGGGAGCCCCTCCTGATGCACGGCAGCGCTTAGAGCCTGTGGAACCAGTTCCTCCACACAAATAACAATGATTTAGTCTTTGGGGCCTCTGGCCCCACCTTTGGCCGCGGGATGATAATTATGACAACGTGACACCCAAGCCCGCGGCTCTCCGGGCCTCAGAGGAAGCCGGCTCCAAGGCCTCCGGGCTCCACCTTCGCTTCCCAAAGAAAACCCAGCCGTCCCCGGAGTCACCTCGTGGGCGCGCAGCTCGCTGATCCTGGGCGATGGGTGAGCAGGGGCCTATTTCCAGCGTGGAAGCAGAGGGAACGTGAGTGGGAGGGACCGCGGCCGGCACGGCTGGAAATGGGCTTCCGGCTCCTGTCACCTGTTGCTGCAAGCCGGAAGTCCCGCTTGTGACGCCGTGGATGCCACGTCCGCCTCGAGTTCTGCATCGCGCTGGGGGAGGGGCCCGGGGTGAGGATCCGCCTCTTGGGCGGAGCGTGGGAATGGCGGGCGGAGGCGGGTGGGGGCGGAGGACCTGGGTGCGGCGCCAGGGTCGCGGCGCTAGGGCGGGGACCCGGACCGGCGCCCCGATCGCTGGGCGGTAGCTGCGCCGACGAGTGTGGCGGGGCGGGAAGATGAGGGCCGTTTCTGTACGGCCCCGTCCGCGCAAACATGTACTGGATGCCTGCTGTTGTCAAGTATTATTCTGTATCTGCACCGTCCATTGCAGCCATTAACCACACGTGGCTGTTCACAGCTTGAAATGTGGTAGCTGAATTGAAATGTGCTGTAAGGGTAAATTACAGTGTATTTTCAAGAATTAGTATGAGAAAAAGTACAAAATATCTCATTTTTTAAATAGTTATACCATGTTAGGCAAGGACTGTTTAAGTTAAATAAAATATAAGGTTAAAATTAATTTCACCTTTATCTTTTTACTTTATTAACATGGCTACTAGAACATTTAAAATGACAAATGCAGCATTCATTATATATGTATATATGTCTATTGGACAGTGGTATTCTATTTACCGGGTATATGGTGGTGAACAAGACAGTTTTTGACCTCATAAAATTAACACTCCGTTGGATATAGACAATAAACAGATAATATAAGTGCACATCATGGTAAGTTATATGAAGAAAATCTAGCAGAATAAGGGCCGGAAAGAATGTATATATTGAGGGGGATTATTTTAGACAAGATTCTTCCTCCACTCTTTAGAAAATGATGTGGGAGGAAATCAGATGGGGGGGGGCACTGGAGAATGGTAGGAGGACGGTGTCTTCTGGGAAAAGTCAGGTATTGAGGCTGATAAATCAATTGGGGCCTCGGAAAATCTCTGCTTTAGGGAAGCGGCCGCATCAGGCGAGGAAGCAAAGAGAAAAGACGGGTAAGATACCCGGGAGAAAGAGCTGCGAGGGCCCCCGGGAAAGGCAGAACAAAGCAGGCCTAGAGGGGATATATTTCACGTAGAGCAGTTACGGGACTACTACGAGTTTATACACTCTCGTACCATGAGCGTGGTCTGTCTTTCTGGGTTGAAGTTGTTCAGCGTGCTAAGGTAGATCCACTGGGCCAGGGACTCAAAGGCCACCTATCTTGTAGCTTCATGCTCCCCGGGTTACTGCCTTGGCCCACGTGGCCTAAGATGGTGCATTACTGCACCTTGCTTCCAGCCAGGGGGAAGAAAGAGATGAGAAACCGGAGCATGCCCCTTCCGTCTAAGGTAGGGTTTCTCCACCTTGGCACAATTCACATTTGCAGCTGGATAATTCTGTGTTGGGGGCGCTCTTCTGCATTGTAGGGTGGTTAGCAGCATCCCTAGGATCTACTCAATAGATGCTAGTGGCACTCAGCAGTTGTGACAATTAAATGTCCCAGACGTTGCTAAATGTGCCCTAGGGGCAGTCACTCCCTAGTTGAGAACCACTGCTTTAAGGGTACTACCCAGAAGTCTCCAACAAAACTTCTGCTTAAATCCCATGGATGGCCAGAGCTTCATCATTCGGCCATCCTAAGGGTAATGGTGCCCAGCTAAAAGCTAGCGAAGGAGCAAGGCAAGACGCTAGCAGATTCTCACATCCTTGTTGCTATAGGAGTGGAAATTCCGTAGCCGATTGAATAGGTGTCCCTGTTCTTTTCATTTTCCAGGCTGAGTTTTAGTCATTCATTAATCATTTTATAGAATTCACATGCATGAAAATATTGGTGGTGGGGAACAACACTAAGCACTGAAAAAGTGACAATCCCCTTTGAAAAAGATGGGCGCTGTTACCCCAGAGAGCTGACCAGAATGAGAAACTGGGTTTTGAAATAAAAGCGAGATTTTTTTCCTTGTGTTTTGGCGCCATCTTGTGGAAATTTATACATCCAACCATTCCTCACCCTCTTGTATTTTCTTTGATTTGTCTCAGGCATTAACCTCAAATTATAAACAACCCTTATGTGGATTTTAGCAAAACTTAAAAGGTTCTTGCAGACAAGGAGCTCTTTAAAGCAGGGTTTCTCACTCTAGGCACTGTTGACATCTGGGACCGGATAATTATTCTTTGTGGGGGCTGCCCTGTGCATTGTAGGATGTTTAGCAAAAATTGCCAAATCTCCCTTGGGCAGGGAGGCAAAATGGCCCCCAGTTGAGAACCAGTCCTTTAAACAGGGCCCCTAAAAATTCTACAGCCTGTTAAGGCCATATGTCACGGTAATGTCATACCAGCGTATCCTGGGGGTGGGAGAGGCGTGTCTGGGAGGGACAGGAAGACAGAGCTAAGAGAAAATGAAGCTCCACCTGGAGCATGACACGGGCTCTTTTTTACACTTTGGAGAACTCTGCTCCTGCTTGTCCCATCAGCTGGAGGTGAGATGGACCGAGGTACGCCAAAAGGCCAGGTGAGAGGATGTGGAGTTTCTTTAAACCCTATGGCAAGGAAATCTCCAGAGGCCATTAGCTAAAGCAGGAAGTAGCACAGAATAATCCCAGACTGATACTGGACCCCAAAGTTCCCCTCAGAGATGTATAGGTGTGGATGGTCCTGCCAGGGGTGGGAAGCCATAGCTAATCTGATGGGGCTTTGTGGGTCCCTCTGGCACCCCTCTGCCGCTTGAGCGTTGTGAAGAAACTGGCTGGGAGCCAGTCCCCTTGCCTGGGTCAAGTAGATGGTGCTAAACCACTTGCCAACACTTCTGAGATGTTACTTTGAAACAGAGTCAAGGAAAGAGCAGCTTCCTAAGGAGCATCCCCTAGTAGGCCCTGGCCTCAGGCCCCGCGAGGGCTTCTCCTCCCATTGCCCTTCGATTTCACCTTCCTTGCAAGCCCCTGTCCCACCATCCAGATCTCCTCTTTCAGTGGATGACGTCACCTCATACTGACAAAATGAAGATGACGGGGAGCCAATTTCATCACTTCAAAATATATCGCTGTCTGAACTCTGTACTCCCGGTGCTTTTTGTTTCAGAGGATGAGGTCTCTTGGCTTCTGCCCAGGCCAATCCATTCTTGTGTTCTTGGCATCGAATCCCACATCCTCACAGGCACCTTGCTGCCTCGATTGTGCAGCTCTCATGTCAGCACCTCTCTCTTTCCTGGCCCCTTTTTCATTAGCATCAGCCTCGCGCAGGTTCTCTGATCTTTACAATAGTTTTGGTTGGGTTTTCATCTCCTACTCCTTACTGTTCTGTTTTTCAACTTCTCTCTTTGGTCCTACTTCTGTAAAAAGTGGGCTACCTTGATCCCCTCGCCTTCTTTCCACTCAACCCACTGCCATTTCTCTTCCAGCCCAGCTGTCTCCCCGAAGCCCTCTGCTGACTCCTTCCTATCTACTATCTACTATTACTTGGCCCTCCTGCGGTGTTTGATACGACTCACTATGCCTTCTTTCTTTGCAATTGCCACATTCTCCTTCCGCGAACTGCAAAAGTAACATGTGCTTAATGCACAAAACAAAACACAGAAAGAAAACAAACCTAAGAGCAAAAACACCAATCTCAGAAAACACAGGCGCTTAAGCACAAAGGAAAACAAGAAACACTCCTATTATTTTAAAATAACTTCTCTTTATATTTAGTGTATGTTCTCCCAGTTTTGTTGTGTACTAATACCTTTAAACATGTACATCCTGTGCTCTTTCTTATTCATATATATATATATATATATATATATATATATATATAGAAATGGCTTCCTGTAGATTCTCAGCCTCAGCACCACTGGACCTTCTGGACTGGGTAATACTTTGTGGCGGGGGCTGTCCTATACATTGTGGATGTTTAGCAGCATCCCTGTCCTCTACCCTCTAGATGCCAGTNTACCTTTAAACATGTACATCCTGTGCTCTTTCTTATTCATATATATATATATATATATATATATATATATATATATAGCCAAATGGCTTCCTGTAGATTTTGTTGTAACTATTCCCCAGAAAGCTGACTCCATGATGGAGTGTAGGGTGCAGGATGTTTACTAAGGAACAACCTTGGGACCAATACCTATGACAGGGAAATGAAGGAAGCAGGATTGGGTAGACCAGTTTCTCAACCACTGGCATACTGACCTTCTGGACTGGGTAATACTTTGTGGCGGGGGCTGTCCTATACATTGTGGATGTTTAGCAGCATCCCTGTCCTCTACCCTCTAGATGCCAGTAGCGCGCGCGCGCGCGCGCACACACACACACACACACACACACACACACACAGCTCTCCCCTCCACCCCAGTTGGGAGGACCAAAAATGTTTCCACATTGCCAAGTATGGGGGGGGCCAAAATCGCCCCCAGTTGAGAAGCACTGGGGTACAGAGAAGAGCTGAACTTGCATGTGGCATAACAACAGTCTTCGTGGACCCCACAGGCATCTCAGGAGCTAGAATGGCCCTTCTGAGTTGTCAACATTGGGCTGAGATGGTGGGGCCTTTCTGCTCCCATATGGAGCAGTCACTGGACATGGGCCCCCGGATGGGGGCATGGCATTGGGGGAGGTGGCTTTTTGCTGCTGGAGCAACAAGTCCTTCATTGAAGGGGGATCTGAGCCATCCCAGTGTTCATGACGCATGTTACTCCAGAATTGTTAATTTGCTTCTCAGCATCTTCCACTCAATGGTAAAATTCCTGAGAATCGGAGCTATGTCTTATTTGGTTCTGTGTCATCAAAACACAGCATACTACATGGGAATACTGGTTAAAAGAAATAATGAAATGGGAGGCTAATTGTGGTTATTTGGGTAGT